AGTTTGTATAAAAAAAAAAAAAAAACTTTACAAGGTGCCAATATGTAAAGACAATTTGTTACATGTTTTTTTTCTCAAAGAAAAGCGTACATTATGAAAGTAGTACCATGTATCAGGTAAATCGCTGTCAGGAATGAGAGTCAAAGCCTTCCTTGTCCACAAAAAAAAAAAAGTTTGTAAATGTAAAACCTGTTAGGTTTCGGCATTCGACTAGAAGTGAACTGAAAAACAAAAAAATCAAGGCTTATGTAGAAACCGTGAATCACGAAATCTGTTACCTTTGTTGATCCACACTTCTGAGAATTTCACCAGCTTTCCCAGCACTCTTCTTGGGGTCAGATTTTGGGGAGAGGATGGGGCAGGGGTTCTGAGTCTACAAATATTGCAGATCGTTAGCCATTTTTATATATATGTGCATATCTCTCTCTCTCTCTCTCTATAGAAAAAAAAATTAAATAATTTTGAACTATTGTAGTTTTCAGATTGCCAACGAGCTACATTCCATATCGCATGGAAAATGTGTGAAAATCTTTTGAAATCCTTTGGTACCTTTGGTTAATAAACCTCCGACCAAGTTTTTAGATGTTTCAGAAATTGTTTAGCATTCGAGTCTTGAGAGTCAAATTGGCAGTTTTGACTGCGTTTTAATGGGCCCCGAATAGTTAACAAAGTCTCTTCTACCCATAAGCCTTGATGAAAATGGTACAGTCCAGACTGTTAGCATGGTGCTTCATGTGTATGTGCTGCCAGTAACGAGATTTTTTTTTTTTTTTGATAAGGCATAAAAGAAACTCATTCCTTACATCCACTGTAATTCCATCATTCCATGTCTGTTGATACAGACAATAAAAAATGTTGTGTAGTCAGTACTAATTACTGACATTATAGCATTCTCAAATGCAATAAAAATGCTGGTTGTTCACACTGGTAATACAAGTTGCCATGTTCTAAGTTTTTCTTCCAGTTTTCTGGCACCGTTATGCTGCCTTCGTGAAGGCCTCCCGTCCTGCAGACGAGTCCCTGTATGTAGGCTGCTGCACCACACCAGAGCCCCTGTAAAACCAGCTCGGGGGGGGATGACAGAGGGGCTTGGCATGAGCGCACGTGGTCGCCCCACCCGCAGCAAACTCCGGATTACGAACATGCATTTGTCAGCAGATGCTTCAGTCGTGACATTGCAACCAACCTGAGCACTGAGGGCTGATCCTCCAAGGGGCTGGCTGCCTTCTGCTCCAGTGCACGTGCTCTGCAGCTCCCAGAATAGCACCCCGGTCGTTTTTGGCTCTTGTCAAGCAGAGCAGAGGGTGTTCATCCCTCGCAGGGGTTTACCCTAGAAAAACAGAGAGAGAGGAGCGCAGGGGTCAGGCCCAATCCTGCAGGTCCATTAAGTGCGTGGCACGCTGAGCCATACAAAGTTCACAGGATCAGACTTAAGTCCCCCAAATCGTGTTTGATAAACTTCAAAGCGATGTCCTCCCGGACCAGTTTTAAAGGGAAAGCCGCCACCTTTTCTCTTGAGGAAGCATCCATTTATTTTCTTCATCAAGTTTTATAAGGAAAAATAAAATGTTTAATAACTAGCATTAGCAGCAAACTAAAATTTCAGAGGAGAGGTTTTCATGAATAATTCATTAAAAATTTCACATCTGCAAGATTAGTCATCCAAATAAAATGCTAATGTCAAAAACATGCACCGTCTATAATATTCTCATCAAGAAATCTTTTTGCATATAATGATAAACGCTTAAATTAGTACAAATGATTTTATAAAAATATTCTATCATAAAATTATACCGGATAACTACTTTCAGGGCACACACAAAAAAAATTCTTGGCACGCTCCTTCTAACATAGTGTATCGGAGTGGTATTGATTTTGAAATTTTAATAATCTAAATATAGAGAATAAGGTGTTCTCTGCTAGTGGCAAAGTGCTGGAGTTGGCCATGAGAACAATCTTAGAAAAAGCATCCGAGGGCCCTTCTTTAAGTGCATCTGAACTTACCTTGTTTATTTGAAATCACTGCCGGAGTCCCTTAACGCAGCACTCTGAGTAATACAAGATGGGCACTGGTCCTCCAAGATTTTGGGGCTGGTATTGTCTTATTGGCTGTGGATAACGGGACAAAAACGTGCTGAATTCTCCTGGGACTAGCCACCCCTCTGTTTCTAAGGACCAGGATGATTCACAACCTGACTCTGTGCTACCTTGAAGCTGGTGTTGTTCAGAAAAGAGCAAAGTGGGTGGCAAACATCAACGAGCAGAATAAGTTGCTTTACATTTGCTTGGCGTGCTGGCTGCACGGGCATGAACGACAACCACGTGCCAGGCAGATGAGAATTATGCTCTCCACTGATGATCTGGGTAAAAGGAGCCCAACTCCGGCTCCTCTTGAAGTCAACGCCATCTTTCTCATTGAGTGCAAGGAGAGCGGGACTGACGGCTCTCGCCTTCTGCAAGCTGAATGCTGCAGTTCCCACCGACCTGAGTGGAAGCTCCCAGGGAAGCCCTGCAAAAATGACACTTTGCCGCTGCCTTGCATGGTAGCAGGATGAAGCTTTCGGCTTCGTGCCTGTCTTAACGCAGGCAACCAGGACTCCAAGCAGAGATGATACCTTTCATTAAACTAACAAGATTTTTTGCAAAAAAAAAAAAAAATTCTTTAATTGCAAGCTTTCGGGCACAAACTCCATCTTAATTAAAGATTTTTTTTTTTTTTTTTTTTTTTTTT